CTGTCTAGCAGAACAGAATTTCTGGTTTCAGCATCTAAATTTGTGGTTTCTTTGAGGATAGTTTTTGGTACATTTCATTATAATGTGAGCATGCTGCCTAGTATTATTTCTACCACAATTATTGAAACAAATGAATTTAGGGAAATTAAACTTCTCAAATCAGTTTGAGGTTTAATACAACACGAAGAAAAATGAATTGGGTTATTTAACAGAATTTGCCAGCTGGTAATTTTATAAAATGTGTTTAGATTGAACCTTTGAAATGTTTTCCCTGCAGGGCATCATGCGTTGTTTTGTTTTGTTGTTTTAAGTGTGTGGAGGGGGAGGGAGACTAAAAGGAAGGAAGGAAACTAGGTCTGAAAAATGGCTTTGGACACTAGTGTCTGAGTGCAATAATGCCAACTTACTGCATCAAAATTGATCAAATTGTGGAAGAAAATTGGTATGACCATATATACCAAAGGAGTACAATCAAAAAAAGTGAACACCTAAAAAAAGGACAAATCAAATTTCAGAACAGAACAGAAATTAGTGTGGTATGTTCTGTGGTTGTTGGTAAGAATCATCCTGAGGTTAGGTGGTTTTCTATAGGAGACTACCACACTAATACCAACCCTGGAATTTTCCCTTGCAACAAACCCTGTTGCCAGCTTTGTCCACATATTTACTTTGTTGATACCATTATTGGACCTAACCAATTCAGTTATAAGATCAAGAACACATATTCCTGCTCATCCAGAAATATAATTTATGCCATCGTGTGCTGACAGTGTCCATCTGCTATGTACATTGGACAAACATCTCAGACACTTCGCCAAAGAATCAATGCACATATAATACAGATATCAGATCGTGTCACAAAGAAAAAACAGTTTCTTGCCATTTCAACCAGAAAGGACATTGTCTCAATGACTTGACTACCTGCATTCTGCTTCAAAGACATTTTCACACAAAACTTCAAAGAGAAACCTCTGAACTGTCATTCATGCTTAAATTTGACACTTTATGACGGGGTCTTGATAAAGATGCTAATTACCTTTCCTTCCCATTGCAAAGATAGCTTCCCCAATTATCACCTCTAATATCATTAGCTCACAGACTTCTCCCCCTCACCCCCCCTCTGTTCTGAAATTTGATTTGTCCCTTTTTTAAGTGTTCACTTTTTTTATTTTATCCCTTTGGTATATATGGTCATGCCAATTTTCTTCCACAATTTGATCTGAGGAAGTAGATCTGGCCCACGAAAGCTCATCACCTAATAAACCATCTTGTTAGTCTTTAAAGTGCTGCATAATCCTGTCTTTTGTTTCAGCTAGACCAGACTAACACGGCTACATCTCTATTACTAACTTACTGCATATAGTTCATCGCTGGGGTCAAATTGAGCTGTCTGTCCTGTGGTGGCTCAGTAAGTTGGTGCTTTCTCTGGTGGTCGCATCAAGTGTTCCAGGAAAAAGAAAAGGATAGTAAACTAATATGATAATGACAAACAGAAAACTATGTCATTTAGATAAATTGTACTGTACTTACTTGGGTTCAAGGCTGTTGAGACTGAAGCATAATGACCATTTAAATGTCAGGTTTGTGATACTTCTTTGATCTGTAGTGAAATAATTTACAGTCTGTGCAGTCTACCAATGTGATCAGTGGAGGAGTTGTTTGATTCCCTCTCTAAACGAAAGAGGGGTTAATTGATAAATTAAGAATCCTGGAGTTTGGCAGTGTCATTCCTGGTGTAAAGTAGCCAACTTTCACACCACGTTGCGTTACAGATGCCTTTGAAGAGTGGTAGGGAGATGGACGTATAGGCCAATACGTGGGGGATGTGTCCAGTGCTTAATTTATAAAGAAAGTGTTGCTGGGGCTTATATAAAGAGTGCTGCACAAAGGACACCATTTTGCAGAGCATGCTGCTGCCCTTGGTTGGCCTGACCTTGCACCCACACTGCGTGTGAACTCATGCTGCACAGAAGATGACATTTTACGAAGTATGGTGCTCTGTTCCTGCCAGCTTGACTACACATGGTGCATAGAAGGCACCATAAGAAAAGAGGCTGAGCAAGACCCAGCACAAATTTCAGCTCCTAGTATGTCAGGATATGGTTGTGAGCTACTGCTTGGCAGGAGGAGTGAGCTGGTTGAACTGCATAGGTGCTTTGGTAATTTTAAATCATTAGAAGGTACTCAAAGCCTATGTTTGGGTGTATGTAGAAGATAGGATAGCTGTTAGAAGAAGCAAGTTCAGCATTTTTCCACTGTGCTCACAAAGGGGGGGAGTTGACGATAAAAAAAGAATTATCCTGAATGATAAAAAAAGGAAACCATTCAGGGTAATCTCCTTTTCTTGTGGTGACCAGTTGGGTTGCATGTAACAAGGCTATGAGGAAGGAGTTCAGAATTTTAAAATGAGAGGAAAATGCTAATTAATACATGGATGGGCATGTTCAGTGTTACATTTTATAAATTTTATTTAAAAAAATAGTTTAAATTAAAAAATTAAAGAGGGGGAGAGGAGTGAAAGGATCATTGGGGTAGGCAGTAAAGACAAATTATCCGTGTTGTGATGGAACGTGCACTTTGCCAGAAGTGAAAGGTGGTACCTACAGCACACCAAATAGAAATCTAAACATGTCACTTTCAAGTACACTTACATGCCTCTAGAATAAACTGTCATGTTGAATCTGTCTATAAAATTTGAGATGCAGCTCTGTGAAAGTCTTAGGCTAAAATGCTGAATCTGTAGAACAGCTCATGTAGCAATATTAGATGGGGAAAATGAGCAAGATATGGTGCTTCTGCTTTGCTAATAATGTAAAAACAATTTGCTAGTTATTGAATCTGTGTTATGCCCAGGTCAAAGAAATGGATGCCAGTCTGTATCTAGATGATCTATTTTCCTTTTAAAAGATTTAGAAATATTGGTACGTCTATTGCCTAAATGTATTTAATTTTCCATCTAGAACAATTAAAAACATTGCAGAAAAAAATCTGTACAACTGTACAAAACTTCATAACATTTTTGTTTTGTAAAGTTATGGCCATTAAAAATATCCATTTCCTGACCTATAACTTCATATTGTAAACTTCATATTTCTCTAATATTGATAAATTACATTTCCATTTTTAATATTCACCTCTGTGGCAAAACTGTACTTGACATATACTCTAGTCTGTGAATCAGAGCAGTTTTCTTTTGTCCCTGTTCTTCTGAGCCTTGGATTGCAGAGCATTATGATTAATTTAACCTGATATCTAATATGGGTGAAAGTTGATAATCTTTTAGGCAGTAATATGGCTGTTCAGAAAAATGGATGTTAAAGGGAAACCAAAAATGGAATGAATTACTGTAATAGAAATCACCATGGCAGGCTGCCTTTGTTTCTAATTTCAATTTACTTTAAATGCACATATTTTTATGTAGAGGAATCGGAGACTTCAGGATAGGGATTTTACTGAGTGTGTTCCATATTGAATATATGGATTATAATAAGGGCCTGTTGCTCTTCAGTGAGAGCCAAAGGTGCTCAGCACCTTGCAGGAGTAGACTCTTATTAGTGTGCTGTAATGACAGAATTCACTGTCACTTATTTTCTCTGGTCTTGCAGGCAGGAGCTTCACAGGTCATCTTCACGAATCCCCTAGAGATTGTAAAGATTCGGTTGCAAGTAGCAGGAGAAATCACTACAGGACCTAGAGTCAGTGCTCTTACTGTTCTAAAAGACCTGGGGATTTTTGGACTTTACAAGGTAGGTACTTGAGCACCCCCAGCACACTACTTTTAAACCATTTTATGCTAAATTTAAAAACCTTTGAAAGAAAAAGTTTATTTAAATAGAACAAAACTTGTCAAATTTAAGAACATGTATGGCAACCCCATGGTAGAAAAATGGGGTGAGGGGAAATACATTTAGCCCTAGACTACACTACAGAGTTAGTTCAGCATAAGGCAGCTTACATCGATTAAAATCTGTAAGCATCTACTGTAAAATGCTGCCACTGATATAACTTGCTCACTACACCAACTTAGTAACTAAACCTCCATGACAGTTGTAGCACTTAAGTCAAGCACTTAAGTCAATGTAATTAGGTCAATGCAGTGTTAGTGAAGACACTGTGTTGTATCAACTATTTCTGCCTTTCAGGAGCCACCCACAATGCTCCATACTGACAGTTAAAGGTGCCAGTGCTCCTAGTGAGGATACATGCTGCTGACATAAGGAGTGTAGTGTGGGCATGCAAAAGCAGTTTAATTATGTGGTGGTTGTCCATCAATATAACTTAGGTCATCTTAATTTTGTACCGTAGACTTGCCCTTATATTACAGTAGTGGCAGTGGGATACTTAAAAGTATTTTCCAGTTCTATCCTTTGGGCTTTTATACTAAGCTGCAGGGAGTCCTGTATTGCAGACCTGTTGTCTTCTGGCATGGATCATTTCATTTGGAAGCTTTTGTAAAAAGTTTCTTTAGCTTTTCTTTTGTGTTTGTTTATAAGCCCAAATTGTCTTACATTTATTTAGACTCTCAGTTATCTCTATTGTTATCGTCACAGCGGCATCCTCTTTTTGTCTTAATAATTTGGCAGCAATGAAACAGTAGCAGAATTTAGTAGGATTCAGATCTTTAAGAAGTTAAGTGGTGGGATTTGTCAATAATGAATTCTATTTAAAAAAAAAACAACCCATACTGTACTGTACTTTACCAGAATGCCAGTCAAAAGATTCCTTCCCTGCAGGTGTATTTACTACCATCATTACAGATCAGATGTAATGGTGCAGAAGCGATTAGTTTTCTTAAACAAGGAAGATATTTTTTCCTGTACTCTTTGCCAGTGCAAGAAGTAATGCGTAAATTCAACAGTCATAGGCAGCTGTGCACTTCCAAAATATTGGTTTAGCTGATTTATTTATGGAGCTTCAGTAACACTGTAGAAATGTGTAAATTTGCCTCCATAGCTACAGCTTTTATTCTGAATTCACTAGATTAGATTCACACAGCTATAATGTTTCCCTAAATATCATCAATGTTTTGGTGCATGGGGCAAAATTTTAGTGCAGTAATCATTTTTGTGTATGGTGGCTAGAAAGGTGAATCTACTACAAATGTTATCTTTTTTTGAAATTGCACAGTTAAGTTAAAGAAAAAAGAATGCAAATTTCATGGAGTATATATCAAAACATGTAATCACTGTGAATGAAATTCACCCAAGCACAGTGGGTCTCCTCTCCACAAGTCCATCCATGCCACAAGTCCATCCATACCACATAAGCCCCACAGATCCCATGTGGAGGGCTCTCTGCTCCAAACAGATCAGTGTGGAGAGGGGTATTTATAAATGTAGGACCTCCCAGGCCCTGACTAGTATCACTCAGTGACCCAGAGCCTCTTATGTAGGGAACCCAGAGGGTCAGTGGCCATTCTTGTGGCACATAGTGCTCTGGAGTGGTGGTCAGGGTCATCCTTAGAATTTATGAGTCCCTAGACAACCTCCCCCCTCACATGACTTGTTCCTGTCTGCAGCACAGGGCTCCCGCGGGGGCTCTTCCTATCCCTCCTCATAGCACTTTTCCTGGGAGAGTCCAGCAGGGAGGAAGTAAAATGTCTGTCTGCTGTGGATCCCTCCATCCAGGAGGAACCTGCAGCTGTAGTAAACCCTTCCGTTGCCATAATTTGGGGCACCATAGGACATTATATAAGAGCAGGAACTGACACATGCAGGAGCCGAACCACTCTTGCTTGCTGTTCTAGTAGTGCCTCAAATTTTCATTTGCTCTACACAGCTATGTATTCCATGTATGAATTAGGGCCAACTTCCATAGCTCACCTTCGGGATGAGCTGTGTGCAGGAAATAATTCACCCAGTGTCAAACACATAACTCAGAAGTTGTATCATGTCAAGAATCCTTATTAAAGTATTTTAACAGCACTTCCAGAGCTATTGTAGCATGTGTCGAGATCTAGAGAGGCTCTTTAGTTTTCTTTTAGGCCTTTAACCAAGAATTACTTTTTTTTCCTGGCAAGAGAGTCATTCGGATTCCCCATCCTGTGTCTCCATATCACTTTCCCGTGCTTCAGAAGTCCCATGTTGTGGCACCCTTTCCATGGGAAAGAAGATAAATTGTGCTAGCCCTGCAGTGCATTTTTTTCTGGCAACCAGAGAGAGTCAGTGGAGATGCTCACAGCTTCCTGTGGAGCAAATGGCAAGTGAGGGCCCTAGTTGAATCTCTTATGTGGCAGTACATTCTCTGTCTCTAGGCCAGCGGGATCAGCTAAGAGAAGGTTTTTTGCAGGTTAAATTTTTGTGTACATATCTGTACAAAAAATGATCTAAGGTTTGATGGTGGGTCCTTGGTTATCAAGCACTACTCTTTTGCTAAAGTTAGAATGAAACGAGTGTTGAAGCTGAGAACTGGCCATTGAATGACTAACCCTGCTTCTTTTGATGTCCAAATCTCCATACTACATTCCCTAAGACATTTTATTGCATTTATTATTTACCTGGTAGATCCCCTCGAGAGTCTTGGCTCAGTCAATATCCTATGGCCTGCGGCTGTTTGCCAACCTTTAATTCTGCTCCTGTTTATATAACTTGTTTGTATTATGTTTCCTTTTTGTGTGACAGGGTGCCAAAGCGTGTTTCCTTCGAGACATTCCCTTCTCTGCAATCTATTTTCCTGTTTATGCTCACAGTAAACTGATGCTTGCTGATGAAAATGGCCACGTGGGAGGGCTTAATCTCCTTACAGCTGGTGCGGTTGCAGGTAACTTCTCAATATGTTTTCTAGAAATAACCTTTTTTCCCTTAATAGATAATATTTAATATCCATTCATTGGCCCCATATAAATGAAAGGTAGTATGCCATTGTGTCTGATTTAATCTAAATTTGATCACTTTTATCCTTGGTGGGAGGTAGTGTAATTTTGATGAGAGCTAATTACATTTGCATAATGTGGATAAACAGCTTAATGCAGCTCAGCAACTTGTAGCCAAATTTGATCTGTCTGTCTCAATGGGGTTTTAGATGTTACCAGGCTCTCTGACTTGAAGGCTAATTTGAATCTTTGATGAACATATACTGAAATAAGAATTAAAAAGAAAATGATTTGTTTAGCTTAGGGCTCCAAAACAACTGGGAAAGAAACTTTCAGTTCAAAGGGTAAATGTCAAAAGAAGGATTTAAGGGTGTCTTCACTGTTCATTAGGGGAACAGAAGTGGAAATAACACATTCATCATGCTTTTTAAAAGAATTTCTAATCATTATTTCTCTTGTGATGATAATGGGACAAATTCATCTCACTCACATGAAATTAGTATTTAGAAATGACTTTTGTAGTCTTTCATTTTATTGAAACTGAATTTTGTAATTTGGCATTATACCACCATATGTTCTGCTCTTCTGGCTACAGTTTCAAGCTTCAGCGAGTGAAAGTGCTTTTTAAATTGTTTTGAAGTCAAGTATAAAAATTCGACCAATGCTGAAAGTGAATGTTCAGGTTCCAAGATGAAAGGGAACTCTTGTTTTTGTTATAAACGAGAGTTGAATTTTTACTAAAAAAATCTAAGTTTTATAAATATTCTAAAATCCATAATTGTGCCTCCAGGATAATATTTTACCTACATAGTTTCTCTTCCATTTGAATAAGAAACCAGTAGTGGTGGTTGGGGTGGGATATTGCTACCATAGTTATTTATGCTGTTACCATGATGTCTGTGCCAAAAATGCCTTTATTGTCAACTTTTATTGTTTACTTTTTAAGTAGACTTGTGTTCTGCTATGAACTTGGCCAAAGAGCACCAGAGAAATCTCACACTTCAGAATAGCTGGCCTCTAAATTATCACTTTGCATATTTACACCTTTAAACAAATTAATCTGAGTTTGATTTGGATTGTTAGTACTTGAGAGAGGTTTGCCAGGGTATTTAATCAGCTGTACTGTTACAGAATACTTGGTACATACAATAGGTGAGTAGAACTATTTATATTCACAAAGCCCAGTAAGGCTGAAAGAGTTACTAAAATCAGCTGAGAGCAACACTAATTTGTGTCAAGAATATTTAATCTCTTATTACGTGTGTGTGTGTAAGAGAATTATTTTAACTATTTATACTTGGAAATATAATTGTTCTGTTAATAACATTGCATAATTTTTGCAGTTTTCTTGGCTGCATTTTGATAGCATTTTTCTTAAGCATCTGTCATAAAATTAACTTGGTAATTTAGAAGAAACATTTAGAAGGATTGTGCTATGCTAGCTTCAGTAAAAGTCTATTTTGAATACTTTACATTAGTACCAGGACATGTGGATTTACATTTTTTATAAGCTTTGATATTACAAAAAGATGGAAGTTTGCAAGTATGTTCTTTGACATTAGAAATATTTTTATCTTTTACAAGAAACTTTGTGTAAATTAAATGCTGTTTTCTTCTAAAAGGTGTGCCTGCTGCTTCCTTGGTAACCCCTGCTGATGTCATCAAGACTAGACTGCAAGTGGCAGCCCGCGCTGGTCAGACAACATATAGTGGAGTTATTGACTGTTTTAGAAAGATACTTAGAGAAGAAGGCCCTTCGGCTTTTTGGAAGGGAGCTGCAGGTAGGGAATTGTCTTTATTTGTAAAGTCAGACCACATTCTGCAAATGTTTTGTGTCTTATTTAACTCAAGATTACTCCGAGCAGGAAAGTTTGCAGGATTGGGTCCTAGTATTGTAGTTCACAGCTTCATCTGAAATTCTCAGACTTTTTTTCGTGTTCTAATGTTGCTGTTTTACTGTATTATTTATAATAATCTACAGCTCGAGTGTTCAGATCTTCACCCCAGTTTGGTGTTACATTAGTGACCTATGAACTTCTGCAGCGATGGTTCTATGTTGACTTTGGAGGACTGTAAGTGTAAACATTTGTTCACTGACATGCAAGCTGGGTCTGCGAAATTAGAACTAGAATTCATACAGAGCCTTCAGAGAACTAAATGGAAAAACTATGTTTTTCCATTTAGTTAAACTTAAATGATATTGATTAGTTGTATATCAAAGTGCCAGAATTTTGTTAAATTGTACCTTGGACAACCTCACCTCCAGAACACTTGTGTTACTAGTAACATCTTTGGATATTTAAAGAGAAAGAGCTTAAATAAATCAAATTGACTTGATTTGTATACTATCTATTTCACAGTCGTGAAGTACGTCAGTTTCACTTCTTTTAATACAGGCAGTCCCCGGGTTACGTACAAGATAGGGACTGTAGGTTTGTTCTTAAGTTGAATTTGTACGTAAGTTGGAACTGGCATCCAGATTCAGCCGCTGTTGAAACTGACCAGCAGCGGCTTAATCAGACACGCCTTGGGTAGAGCAGCTGGGGTGCTGCTGGGTTGGTCCCGCAGCGCCGCTCCTCGGCTCTACTGGACCAACCCGGCAGCACCCCAGCTGCTCTGCCCCAGGGGTCCCCAAGTCAGCTGCTGCCGA